TGGATCTGCATTTTTATTGGTTAGTAAATTTTACTATATGAATATTTTAAGTAAGTATAGGAGCAAGATCTCTCAAAGTTGAAACAATATCTCATTCTCTGACACATTCTATTCCCTTAATTAACAATGAAAAAATCATTTAACTTATTTAAGGAAGTAGTTGTAATCCAAAGTTCTCTATAACTTACTGAATGATAAAGACATTTAAATTGAGCCATTTGGCTACATTAAAACAATGCTAGAAAAATTGGAACTAGTCTTACTAATATAACTTTATTCCTATCATTCTAGAATGTATTTATATTGCTTTAAATTTTTTAAATGGCAATTTTGGGTGAAATTTTAAAAACGAGTTCAAAAACTGTCAAATTCATTGCATCAAAGAATAGAACTATGATTGCTAGTGGCTTGGTAAAGGAGAATTGCAGGGGAATCAACAGCAGACGGTCTCCATTAAGTAAGATGAATAAGCCCTAGAGATGTACTGTACAACAGGTTCAGCTAGTCAATAACATTGTACATTACACAAAAGCTTCAGAAGGGAGATCTCATTTAAGTGCTCTTAGCACAATAAAATAAAAATTTTTAAGCAATCCCCCCAAAATGAGTTATTTTCTCAATTGTGTTTTTAAATTCAAATACAAATTATTTTGTTATTTGATGGCAATATACTTTAGGGCTTCCCTGGTAGCTCAGTTGGTAAAGAATCTGCCTGCAGTGTAGGACACCCGGGTTCGATCCCTGGGTCAGGAAGATCCCCTGGAGAAGGAAATGGCAACCCATTCCAGTATTCTTGCTTGGAAAATCCTATGGACAGAGGAGCTTGGAGGGCTACAGTCCATGGGGTCACAAGAGTCGGACATGACTGAGCGACTAAACCACTGCATACTTTCCCATTTCTTCTTTTACATTCTAAGATGAAAATAGAACTCTTCTGGTTTACGGAGTGTGATATAACTAAAAGTGCACCATCATCTGGTAACCTAGAAAGTCTATCACACATTCTGTAAACAGGCAACTATTTTTGTTTCCAAAAGACTGGCATGAGGAAATGAAAGTTGAAGAGGGAGGCTAAATATGATCAATTCCATGAGGCATAAAGTGCCTTCAAGTTGCTTCTATTTTTCTGGAGACTCTTTTGCCTTTTGTAGCTGAGACTACAAAGCATTTAGCAAAAGCTTAAAGTATCCCAGGAGATGTCATCTCCTTTATTCAAGCACATAAATAGGCATCATGATGGTCTACAGGTTTCAAGTGGTCTGGGAATCTTTGCCATTATACATAAGATGGTGCCTGTGTATGAGAATGGTACTTTCAGAAACTTAAAGGCATCTGTGATCTAGAAAATTTAAAGACCCAAGTGCTTCTAACCCTTAAAGGTAAATTTCAGGAGGGTTGGGCTTATTTACCACAGGAAGTGTCATGTCCTACAAAGCACACAGAAACTTTACTACTGGGAGAGTCACCCAATCAGATAATTCACGGATCATTTCATTTTGAATATTTCATACTATGTGTGCTCTCTCTGCTTTCTATTTTTAAGAGAATGTTTTAATAATACCACCTGAAATGTGATGCTTCACAACTGGCGTATAGAATAAAATATAGAAAACATAACACCACTGTATTTAATATGACATATATTTTCTGCCAGATAAAATTGCCTGTAGTTTTATGTGAGGTTTTCATCGTCTCTCATTAAGTTTCTGTTACAACGTACAAAACTCAGTTGAGATTGTAATACTTGGAAAGCAAAACATCAATGACCTTCAAATGAACTTATTAAGGAAATCATGTTGTGAGTCAGTATGAAAAGTTGATGACTGGATATGTATTTGCTATGGTGAAAGAAAAGGAAAAAATATTTAATTTGGACAAGTTAATTTTCTTTTAGTATAAAGAATAAAAATTTACTTTGAATAGGATAAAATCGGTCTTCCATTAGAGTTGAGAAGGCCTAATTTTGTAAAATATGTATATATGAGATATTAACATGTCTCATTAAAAATTTAGTCTCTATATCTGCTATAATAGAGTTATAATAAAAACTAAACTGTTCACTTGTGCTTAATCTAGTGTTTAAGGACAGTTTATAGAATTGCATAGATTCTATGCTCTGCCTTTTGGCAATTCAGAAAAATACAACTGTAATTCATATTTTATTACCCTCCAAAGAAGTACTATTAAATATATATTTTCAAAGTAAATTATAAAACATCAGAGATATACAGATGTCTTTTACTTAAAATTTAAAAACCAGATATCTATGTTTTAAAATTTGGATAACTTATAGACCATAATAAGTTTGTATTGACTTTTTAATGAATCACACTCTAGATCATCTAGATGATCTAGATAATTATCTTAACTACCTTGTATAGCATCAGGCATGGTAGGGAAAACATCAGTCCATTACACAACAGTATAGAAGCAGGTGAGTAAAATAATCAAAAAAGAAAGAAAAAAAGCAGTCTCAAGAGATAAAAACTATTCCATGGATGTGGGGTCAACTACCTTTCAATCCTTTCACTGCACAGTTGTGTGGAAAATGGTTAATATTCATATGAATATAAATCACAACTAATAGGAAATGTACCTTCACACCACTAAAAAAATAGTTACAATAATAATCTTTAAGAATGAATGATCCAGCAATTTTTTTTGCAGTCATAAACAACTGAAAGCATTAACAGGCATTGTCTTCCTGCAGAATTTCCAGTTGAGATTCCAGCTGGCAACTTTGAAAAATGATTGTTTGTCCCTTTATAGTGATTCATTCTGATACTCAAAGGACATAAAAAGGCCATCATAGTATTTCTGTTTACATAGAGAGTACAGTCAAAAGGCACAATCCCCTCACTGCACCTGGAGCTATTGCTTACTTGCAGAATTTCCTGGCCACTGAACTGAAAAAAGGTAAACTGGATATCCTACAAGTACCATGAGTTCAGTATATTCAAACATGTTTAAACAGAATGAACTATTTTTCCCCAAATGTGTTGTTCTGTCAGTCACACAATCCAGAAATATAGTAGTAATATTAGAAGAGTTGATAATAATAAATGACTGTCTTATACCAACTTACCAGAAATGGATGTCATAATATTTAGAGCATGAAATAAGGTCATTTCTGTCTGCCCCATCCCCAGTACTTCTTTCATTCTGTTAATCACCTCTGTGCACAGTACACTGTAGTAGAAATATCATGGATTTGGGATGAATCTCCAGAATTACCACTTAATGGCCACACATTCTTGGAAAACTATTTAACACTTCCAAGTTTTTGTTTTCTTGCATATATACTAAAACAATAGTAAACGTCCAAGGTTAATTAGAAATGTTTTAAACCATCTAACACAGAGCCTGACACATAATAAAAGTGAAAGTGAAGTCGCTCAGTCGTGTCAGACTCTTTGCGATCCCATGGACTATAACCTACCAGGCTCCTCCATCCATGGAATTTTCCAGGCAAGAGTACTGGAGTGGGTTGCCATTTCCTTCTCCAGGGGTTCTTCCTGACCCAAGGACTGAATCCCGATCTCCCTCATTGCAGGCAGACGCTTTACCATCTGAGCCGCCAGGGAAGCCCATAGCCATATAAAAGGTACTCATTAAATAGCAGTCATCTCAAGTGTTAGTCTATCAAGGCATACTAGTCTGGCCTACAGCAGCCAGAGTGACATAGAAGCTTGTGTTTTAAGGCAGGACACATCAGTATAATCAGAAGCTTATCTGCCAGCTTCAGATATGAGTAAGATGTAATCTGACCACAGACAGGGTACTCATTCTGTCACATAATTACATGATGGTTGCCAGAGGAAGCCCTTCTATATTAGTTGGAGTGATGAATAAGGTAAAATATGGATATACAGTGAAAATATTGGGGGGATAGAAAAACATAATATGTGAAGAAATTATGGAGTCATCACAGTTAATTTCTAAAGCTCCTGACCTGAAATCTGTAATTGATCACATAGCTTTTAGGTTTTGTTATTCTATACCAAAAAATTTTTGTGTAATCCTAAAATATGTGGGCCACTATCCTATTATGAAAGAGCAACCATGGCCTTGCTGTTTACTTGACTTCTTTTGCCAATTTTAGTTTGAAATAACTAAAGGTTTCTAATAGTATACAAGGGTCAAAAAATACTTCCTCAGGATATTAAGAAATATTGCTGTAATTTGAGGGTAGATTGCAGAAGCCTTTTCAGCTGACTCCAGATGCCCTGGCCACATCCCCCAACACCGGTAACCATGTTTTACAAACTAAATCTGCTGAGGACTTTTCACTAAGTATTTAGTCCAGAACTGGTTATCTGACAACAGACTTCTTTGTATTTCTTTTGTTTTTTTTCCTTTTAAAACTGCAACAGGATTTTCTTGAGTTAAATAATTTCCAAACAAAATTATAGCAACATTCAAAAATAAGTCACTTGCAAACATATTGAAGCTATGCTCTGAAAAGTCAACAAAAAGCTTTCGTCTGGTTTGGAGTGTCCTTGGAAGAAACTTTCGAGGAATGTTTGACCAGAAGGAGTGATTGTGTTTTCTTTGAACATGTGAAATAATTTTATCCTGACAGCATATATGGCTTCACATAAAGAAAAGAAAAAACAGAGATAAACAAGTGTGTAACAGAGAGATGGTTAAGATCAAAAATTAAATGCTATTTCACATTCCCTTACCTGTGAGATCTTCGGGGTCAGCATCAAATAGAGCGTTCCTAGTGAAGCAAGCAGCTGGTATATAAATTTAAGAATTTAAATGAGAGATGCTTTTTGCTTTTCTTCTTACTTGCATAAGCATCTGAAAAAGCAATCCTCATTTATTTCTCAATTTTAATCTTAATTTTCTGTTTTAATTTTTTGAAAATAAAAGGTTTTCCTTTGTTTGTTTTGTTGCCTAGGGAGATGGGTGGTAGAAGAGGAAATACGAACAAAATGAGAACTGTGAATAAAAGAAAATGGTGCTAATTTTTTTTTTTCCTGTTAATTCAGAAACCTAAAAATACATGAAAAAAATCAAAGTTCAAGAGGAAGGTCAAATTATTATCCTGAGGATGTAGCAGCCAAAAGAGACCTGGATAAAATTAGGTAATATCAAGTACTGAGTACACACTCCTTTTGTCCACTGATAAATTAAGTTATAGAGATTACATACTGGAAACAGAGACTGAATGCACAGAGCTTTGGATTCAGACAAACCTAAGCTCTAATCTCAGAACTACCATTTATGTATATGAGAGAGATGAGAAAGTTACTTGTCTAAGATTCTGTTTCCATATGTAATTATATTCACAGTGTTTTTAAGGAAATCATACGAATTCAAAAAACATTTTGGACACTTAAGAAACAAAGCCGTAATAAATGACTGACATAATCATTTTCACTCTAGCTATACTACTTATTTCATGATACCACATACTTAGCACTGAACTTATTTTAACTTAAAGATTACTCTTAATCTTGCCTCCTCCGATCACGCAAACTTCAATGAGGGTCTTTGTATGCATGACCTTCAAGTGAGTGTAGTGAAAACAAAGATTCAAATCATTTACACTTAAATTGACTATTTTTCAGTGTTGAAAATTTTGGTAATAAGCACTGGCCAATTCCCATAATGGCCTTTGCAACTCTAGGCTATTTTAGTAAGCTTTCGACATCCTTATAGATCTCTAGAGCTTCCAGGACTACTATTCTTAGACATAAAATAAACGGTGTGCTGGAAGGTGCTGCACTCAATTCTTTGAAACCTGAGACCCCACTTCTTTTGCTAAGTCTGGAGTCTCTTGGAGCTAAATTATCATCTAAAAAAGATATGCCGCTGGGTGGAGATTTTGTGGTGTTTTACAGTGTATTTCATTGCACAGAATTTTTCTTGAGGTGAGTGGGTTCCTTTGATCTCACCTATTCCATAACCAGCTTATCCTGGCATATGAGTCTTGACATTAGGTGACAAGTGCTCTATTAGCTATTAAATGCTTGACCAGTTCCCAACAATTTTGCAGCCTTGGCTTCTGAGATTTCCGGTAGCAATAAATTTATTATTATTTTCAAGAAGAGACTTCTTTATAGTGACAGACACTATAATGGCTTTTAACGGTTTAGCTTGTACCTACATAAATTTTGATTGGCAATTGGTCCAAAAAAACCTCTGAATTTCTCATTTCCCCAAGTGCTGCGGTGGTCTATGCTATGACCTTACCTTGAGGCTTTGTGGGTCCCTTAATGTCTGCCATCCTGCTTTTTTTAGATTGAGGGGTACCCATTATTTTTCCTTGAAATAAACCTCCGAAATTCAAGCAAACTTACTGTTTTTGGCTGCCTGGGCACTGTTCCTGAGATCTGTTAAGACCTTCTGACGGCACTTACTTTGAAGACAAGGTCAGTCACAGACTCAAATATTTCCCAGTAAATCTTATCATGAAACTCTCAAATCTGTGACATCCCCATTTCTATCCTGTGAGATATACAGAGTCTCTCATACCTCAGTTTTCCACCCAGAAGGATTTGAACAAACTAACTCAAAGATCTCAGAACATGAAACAAGCAGAACTTGATCTAAGAGAAGCTTACCAGAGATTCCGGAGAGAGGCCTCAAGCCCAAAGGGCTCTGTGGGTACCTCCACCTGCATCTAGGAGCCATCCCAGAATCTTTAACAGTTGTCTTAAGGTCCCATCTCATTGACAAAACTGTAAGTGACAAAATTAAAAGTTTAGTAAGGGGTTTGATGTTCTGTATTCAAGGGAAAATAATTCATGGATTATGGGAGTAGAGTTCTTAACAGTGGATCACTGTTCCCCCTAAGTAGGCTTGTATAAAACTATAGCATACTGTAATTGTGAAATTCCTGGGTTCCAATTAAAAGAGTAGATATTTAAAAGAGAAAGGAGTTGTTTGTATATTATTAGTAATTTTAAAACCTTGACTTTAAATATCAAGAGAGAAAATATGTGTGAATATAACATAGATATAGTTCATAATACTCTATCAAGTAGGAAGAATAAGTGAGGAGACAAGATCTGTTATATTAAATAGTAATATTTGAACAAATGAGCAAGGAAGGGAAAATCAGAAAGAACATGACTGGAACTTAAAGGCTAATGAGTCTCTGAGAATGAGCCTAATGACCTGAACTGCAGGCTAAGCTCTGGCAATTAACCAGAACAATAGAAACCATTAGGCATAGATCTCTCTCATAGGTTGGAAGAATTCACAGCAGAAGGAATGGTAGCTTAACATCACCAAAACCTCAAGAGACTGCAGTCACAGACAACCACCATTTAAGCCATGATTAGTCTTAGAGAAGTATAAAATTTAAGACTTCAAAGGGTTTTACAGTGTCCAGGTAGCAAAGAAAAGTGGCTGAGATTTCCTGATTCTTTCCCTAACAGCCCTTCTCACCCCACCACATACACACCACCACAACGAAAGCACAGAATGGCTGAGAGAATTAATGGGCAGCAGAAGTGTTGAGGTTAGCTTGAGGAGGATGAAATATCCCACAGAGGCATTTGTTAGTTCTATAACAGTGTCTGAGAATAAGAGAAGTACATTTGCGAGTCTTAGAAGCTGAGAAACTAAAACATAACAAAAACAAGAACCAAAAAGCAATTTCTGATTATTTTATAATGCTAAAAACAAATATTAGATCTCAGAATCAAACAAGATGAGGGATACTATTGTAGACCCTGAGTATTTAGTTTGAACACTAAACGAATAAATAGCTTGTATTTCTAGGAGTAAATGTGAGCTGCAAATAAACTAGCTCTTGAAAGATTCAAGACAAGCTTTGAATTAGCTCAAAGCCTAATTAGGTTAAGCTGAACCAGCTGCAATTTAACTACCTACAAGAAGCAAAAGAAAAATCCTCTCTGTAGAATGATAATGTAATCTAAAAACAATATCATATCTGAGATTTTTTTATATGTAATAATTGCACTCAATCGAAAGAGAAAGCATTAGGAGGGATAAAAAAGGAAAGAAAATAAATAATTGACTGAAAATGAAATAAAGAGAAAAATCAGCCAACAGAAAAAGACTGAGCAGAGATCAAGATATTAGAATGTGGAGAAAACAATTTCAAACAATAGAGATAAACATGTACAAATATTAAGTGACAAAATAAATGATTTCAGCCAAGAACTATTTGGAACTATACAAAAGAATCAAATAGCAATTCTAGAATTGAAGAATAAAAATAATTGAAATAGATAGGCATTCTAGAGTATTGGACAGCTCTGAAGAGGGAAGCAGTAAACTGGAAGGTGGCTCAGAAAAAAAAAAAATTTTTAATTTGATGCACAAATAGAAAAAAAAATTGTAAATAATAAAAATGTATAAAAATATATGAGTCACTGTGAAAGAGTCAACCAATAGGAATTTGGAGTTGGTAAAGGAGAGGAGAAGAAGAATGGGATAGAGGCAATATTTTAACAGATAATAGTCACAAATTTTTAAAAACCAATAAATACTTCAGAAAGCACTATACACCTTAGCAGAAAACATTCAAATAAGCTCAGTGATCTTTACATATACCCATAACTAAGTACTTAGATATTTAACTAAGATCTAACTACAAAATAAATTATTATGATATAAAAAGAATGTATCTACAATTGATTAGTTTTCCATAAATGCAATTTGAAACCAACAACATTGTCAAGTCGATAGTTTCCTCTTGTAGGAATTTCTGAATTCACTAGCTCATTATATATATTTTTTAGCCATACCCTGCATCATGTGGGATCTCAGTTCCCCAACCATGGGCCCCCTGCCTTGGAAGCTAGAGTCTTAATCAATGGACCACCATGGAAGTCCTACTATCTCACTGCATTCAATACCATTTCACCCTCCCCTGCTTCCTCTCCCATTGGGAGAGAGCAGGATGCGAACAGCCCTTAGCAGTAGCCATTCAAGTGAGTGACGTCGCTCAGTCGTGTCCGACTTTTTGCGACACCGTGGACTGTAGCCCACCAGGCTCCTCCGTCCATGGGATTTTCCAGGCAAGAATACTGGAGTGGGTTGCCATTTCCTTCTCCAGGAGCTCTTCCCATCCCAGGGATTGAACCGGGTTTCCCGCGTTGTAGGCAGACGCTTTACCGTCTGAGCCACCAGGGAAGCGCCTAGCGGTAGCCATTGCTGCGCCTCGTTTCTCTGCTCCCTGTTACTAGGCAACAGGTCCTGCTCAGCCATTGCTCAGTGCCTCAGTGGGCCCTGCCCACAGGCAACCAACTGTCAGTGAGCGACCCTTAGTTGTCCTGCTTGGCTGTCGGTCAGGGTTGCAGTGGCCCCTGCCCACTGGTAACTGTCAATGAGGAACCACTGGGGAAATGATTCAGCCAAGTGTCAGCGGTGTGGTGGTCATTAGGTGGAAAGTGAGGTAACAGGCAGATTCAGGCCTTCTCCTGGAGGCCCTCCAGCTTACCCAGCCTTGGGCTAGTGGGTGAGCTGGAGGGTCCAAGGAACAGACTGGGGGGTCCAAGGAACAGACTGGGGGCTGCGTTCCAGAGCTCTCACTAAGGCCCTCTACTAGCTGTGGCCCATGCCTTGAGGAGCAGTGACTCTCCCCCATCCCTGTCTCTGACCCACTCGCAGTGACTGTCTGCCTGGGTCACAGTCTGTGAGACCTGGTCTCCCCATTTGAGTGACCTGAGGAGTCTGGGGGTTGGAGGTCTGGCTTCCTCAGAGATGACAGCTGGGCGGGATGTGAGAACCTGGACCTAAGAAGCTACCAACTGAGATCTGCCTCCTCTTAGCCAAAACTGGGACCTTGAAGGCTAAAAGTTGTGCCTTGGGACTGTGGCCTTTCTGGTCAGGACAGAGAATAACATTCATCCAGTAGAGATTTACAGGAGCATCTTACCTGGTAATAACCTGACCTCAAGAACAAAGAATCTGACACTGAGAAGTCTGCAACAACTAACCACACCCATCCTTCATCTTTTGCTTTTAAAGGGACTTGCTGAAAGCTTTCAGTAACTTTGGAGTTCTTAGGACATGAGCCAAATTACCTGATTACCCAAATTACCTGATTCCTTATTGTCTGGCCAATAAAAGACAGCCTCCTCAGACTGCTGATCACATCCTCTTCAAACGGCACTTCCCACCAAGTCTCCATAGGGCCCTACATTTTAGCTCCACCTTGGTTATAAGAGGGAATTCCTACACAAATATTGCATTTTCCACTTCTGCATGTGCTACTCATTCTCTCTCGAATGTTCTTCTCATCATTTTTTCTTATGAAATAAAGAAGGAGATTTTACAATATTTCTGTACTTGTCAGTGGTCAGTTGCAGAAATAAAAGTCTAGCTAGTTTAAATCCACAGGGATTTGATTACAATGTTCTCAATAGCTTACAGCATGCTCAGAAAGGATGCTAAAGGAAGAGGGTCTAGGTTGATACTCAAACCAATACCACTGAAGTAGACCATCGATCACCTCTTTGACGTGGAGAACACTGCGTAGAGGACTTCCAAAGTAAAGAAAGTCACTGTCAAGAAGCCACCACCATCATTACAGCTTCTTCAGCACTATACTGAGACTGCTGGAATCACAAATTTATTCCCCATGCTCTCTCCCTCGACACCCTTGAGGCTAGTGGCAAGATACTGGGATCTCTGCCACCACTATCAAGGAAGGAAGGAGAGAGGAAATTTGCTTCATGACTGAACTTGGCACCTGAAACAGCAGAATCAGGCCTTCATTTCAGTTCTGTCTTCCAAATTTTACATGCAAGCACATCATCGGTCAAGGGTAAATTGTATTGTTTTATCACCCTAAGTCTACTGTTTTTCCACCCTGAGTAACTAAACCCTTGTGGTAACTACTTTCTCTTTTAAAAACCACTATTACGTTTCTTTCTCCAGGGACTTTTTCTCTGCTTCCACAGTCCTAAATATGCTCGTATTTGTTCATTTGTTTGTTCATTCATTCCACCAGTTGCATAGGTTTCTGAGAAATGTCATTTTTAGCCTTCCAGCCTATTAATTACAGGAAGGACACTAGTAGAGGAGTGGAATAGATGTTGGGTGCTAAGCCACCATCTTCACTGCAATCCTCTCTTCATGGTGCCCATTCCAAACGCACTGTGAATGTTCCTCAAGTGGTCACTCCCTTCTTTGTCCATCTATACTCTTTAGTTTCTACATGTTCTCTCCTAAGTATAGGTTTATTCTTTCACTGGATTATAAAATCCTTGAAAATAAGACATGGAATCTTTCTAAAAATTAGGAAACTCCATAGTGTATTCCAGAAAGTGAATATTGTTTCTCTATGAAACCTTGTATAATTACACTGGATATATTTAGTAAATGTAAGCTGAATAAATGAATGAGTGAACAAATATGAACATACTTAGGATCTTGAAATCAGAGAAAATGTCCCTGAAGGAAGAGATTAAAAAATAATTGTTTTTAAAAGGGAAAGTAGTAGTCACAAGAGTTTGGTGATTCAGGGTGGAAAAATAATAAAGTTAGAATAATAAGACAACTAAGAATGTAGAAAATTCATACAGAAAAAAACACTTATTTACATTAAAATTATCCTAGGATAAATCCTTTATATCAGCAACAAGCATTTTCCTTTAATTTATTCAGAAAGAAGTAAAGGAAATATCTAAAAATTTTTCTTTTCTGAGATTTTTTTTAAGCGACAAAGAATTGAAAGATCATTTTGAGATGAATAAGTTCTCCCCAGAGTCAATGTACAGCATGAAGCTGACTATAGTTAATAACACTGTATTGTATACTTTACATTACTAAGAGATAGAGCTTAAGTGTTTTCACCACAACAAAAAAGGTAACTATGTGAGGTATTTGAGGTATTAATTACCTTGATTGTGATAATTATTCTACAATGTATACTTCTATCAAACCATCACATTGCACATATCAAATATATATAATTTTGTCAATTACATGCCAATAAAGCTGGGGAAAATCTGAAACATAAAGTAACAAGTATTTGATGTGATTTAGAATCTCTCAGGAAAGAACAGTGAAATCACCCTTAAGGTTATACTTTACTGTCTGAAGAAATACAAGGAAGGCTGATAGATGATGTGATGCAGGAAGTGGGTGGTGCAGCACAGTGTAGGGAGGATCACTGATTAGAACAGAGATGATATTTTGACTTGTATGTCCAAGAGCATAAAATAAATATGCTCTTATATGAGCTCTAGAATCTCATGTGAAACGTACTGGTTGTCATGGACATCTTTATTTTTCTTTATAAACAACCCCAGCCCAGTTGTTCAACTGTGATGTACAGACAACCTCTCTTACTCATTCTTTAATCTGAACCCTTAAGAATATGAACTTCTCAAATGTAATTCCACTGTTGTTTTATTTTCGTTGTTCACTTTTTGGGGGGGGGGGAAAACTTCTCAAAGTCCAATTTCTTTCTTAATCTATTCTATTATTATGTGATTATAAATAACTTTTCAAAAAACTTCATCTGGGTACCTTGTAAAAAAAGTACAAGGATATTGGATTAGTACAAAGACCGAATTTAACTTTTGACTATATCAGTGATTCTTAGCATTGTTTTAACTTACCATTGCATTGTTGTTTGCCTATTACTAATGTGACACTTTGGTTGTTACTCATTTCTTTGTTAGTTGAAGTCACCAACTAACTCTTCAAATTGACAGCTGTGCTATATTATTTACTCATAAGCTTTCTACATTATAGTCATTATTGTCATTCTTATAGTCATGACTCTAAATTACTGTCACGGATATTTTTAATGCAAATCTGTGGCAAAATCCGCTGTTATTCTGTTACTCACCAATGCCATTCTTCCCTTTTTCCATGAGAACCAAATCCCAGTTTTCAGCTAGATGCATAATCAGCTAAATAGAATAAAGACATTTCTTAGCCTGTCTACTAAGTTTAGGCATGTGGTTAACTTCTGGCTAGTGGAGCAGAAATAGAAAAGATGTGCAACATGAAGTCACACTACTGAGAAAAATGTCCTTTTCCTCTGGCTGGAATGTGGCCCTGCTGGTGAGCTGTCATTGGCCCCAGGGATGAGGAAGGGCAGCACCCAGTGCTGTCCTGGAGCTGAAATCATGCCAACTTGCCAGAGCTGACTGTTCAATTTTCAAGAATCTTGAAATCTTGAAAACCATTGGTGGTTAAATTATTGGTAGCTTAAAATTGGCTATTAGAAGTATTTACAACACACAAAAAAATCAGCAACCACAAGTCAAGGATCTCTTTTTCTCCCAAAAAGCCAGTTTAACTGCATACCTCTGGCAATCAGGATAGGAAGAGACAAGACAGATAGGATAGGAAGAGAACAAGACAGAAAGTGCTGGGCTACAGGACAGGAAGAGAACAAGACAGAATGTGCTGGGCTCCTTTATAATCATAGTGCCAGAGTTGGACTCCTTATGCCTAAATTATTATGAGTAAGAAATAAATTTCGCAGATGCAGAGAGTGGTCTCATGGACACAGGTGGGAAAGGAGAGCGTGGGAGGAACTGAAACAGTAGTGTTGACATATATACACTGCCATGCATGAAATAGCTAGCTAGTGGGAAGCTGCTATAGAGCTTATGGAGTTCAGCTTGGTGCTCTGTAACGACCTAGACGGGTGGGGTGTGAGGTGGGAGGGAGGCCCTAGAGGGAGGAGGTGTGTATACACATCTAGCTAATTCATGTTGTTGCACAGCAGAAGCTCATACAACAACATTGTAAATCAATTATACTACAATTGAAAATATTTAAATATCTTTTTAAAGGAAGGGAAAAAAGAAATTTCAGATTGTTTCAGCCACTATTATTTGAATATTTGTTACAGATGCTGAACACACTACATAATCAAAGTGATGGTATTATTTGATATCTTTAATTACACATCAAAAAGTGCTGTAATCATCTGTAGGAGCCTACACAGTCTGACAAAGCTGGTAGGTATGTTTCACACATAAATTCAGTTTTATATATGAATTATTGATCCACAGACATGAAATTTTGAATATTCCATTTCTAGAAGTTTGAAATAAAAAACTGTATTAAATATATGTAATAAGCCTCTAAAAAGAGAAATGAAAAAAACTGTGAGAAGAAGCAGTAGCCATGCATTTGCCTTAGAGGCTTATATAATTCATATGATTTAGCAAGAAACTTAGCTTGAGCTTTCCAGAAGTCCCTGCAGAAGGGGAAACACAAGTGGATTATATAATTCTTATCATTTCAAATAAGATAAATCACTATCTGCTTAAGAGCAAGAAAATTTTCACTTGTTCTTCATTCACAAAAAGAGCAATTTCATGAGTTCTTTCACAAATTTAATTAAGTAATTTTCAAAAATAAGCAATCACCATTTTAAGGAATTTTTATGCATTAAAGCATTCTTAAGAAAACAAACTGTCACTATTCTCTAAGAGCCAGACTTTCCTGAATATAGATATTGCCTAGAAAGAGAAAAGTCGGTTTGGATACTCCCAAAAGGCCAGCTGTTATGATGGAATTATACTGAGACTCTGTCAAAAGTTTCTTATCAACAAAATGAAAAGACCAGCAAATATCACCTAAGGCCACTTTCATGTCTAAATTATCCTATATTATTACTGAAAATTCCAAGTGCATGACATTTTCGGCCCACAGGGACAGGTCAGAATTTGAGCACAATGAGGAGGGTGTTTGAATTAAGGGATGCCTAGACTGAATGTCTGGAGAAGGAAATGGCAACCCACTCCAGTGTTCTTGCCTGGAGAATCCCAGGGACGGGAGAGCCTGGTGGGCTGCCGTCTATGGGGTCGCACAGAGTCGGACATGACTGTAGTGACTTAGCAGCAGCAGCAGACTGACTGTCAGAGAATGAATTAAGTAACAAGGGTTAACAAGGTTTACTTAATTAAGTTAACAAGGGTTCCTTAATTCAGTTGATAAGGGGTGGTAATAGAAATGAGGAGATAGTTATCTTGAGGGATCATTAGTCTAAGAATTTAATTATTGAGGATTATGGAAGCCAGATTTCTCATTGTCAGAAAAGAATTCAGTTGATAAGGGGTGGTAACAGAAATGAGGAGATAGTTATCTTGAGGGATCATTGGTCTAAGAATTTAATTATTGAGGATTATAGAAGCCAGACTTCTCATTGTCAGAAAAGAATTCCAAATATGGAAAGGAAAAAAACTAGAAGGAATCCAGTGGTGCTGAATCAGGCCTGATGTGGACTTATAGTGTTAGCTACATAACA